ATGCCCGTGCTCACCTCTGATTTTTATTTTAGTTGTAGAAATATTATCGATTTATATCAAAAACAGTACTAGTAGTAGTAGGCCTCTAATTATCACACAATTAGCCGATGACACGACAATTTTTATAAAAAATGCAGATCAAATTCCTCTAGTAATCACGAAAGTGGAGATGTTTTCCAGAGCTTCTGGGTTACAATTAAATCTTAAAAAATGTGAGCTGATGGCCCTTCATGAGCACCCCAATTCAGATTTACATGGAATCCCTGTGAAAACTGAAGTAAAATACTTGGGAATTATATTGTCGAAAGATTGGAAAAGAAGGGAACTCCTAAACATTGAAAACAATATAACCAAAACACAACCTATCTTAAATTCTTGGTTACAAAGAGATTTATCAATCTTTGGTAGAATTTTAATTTCCAAAAGTGAAGCTTTATCAAGATTTATTTACCCCGCATTTTCTCTAGCTGTCCCTGATCATCTGATTAATAAAATAAACAAAAACATTTTTAATTTTACATGGAAAAATAAACATCACTACATTAGAAAAAATGATGCAGTTAAACCCATTGCTGAAGGTGGTCTAAACATAATTGATTTTGAAGCTATGAATGGAACGCTAAAATTAAAATGGTTGCAAAATTTTATAAACAATCCTAATAATTTTTGGTTTCGTATTCCAGCAAACATATTTTTAGAATGTGGCAGCATTGAATTCCTATTAGCCTGTGACTTTGCTCTTTCTAAATTGCCCCTTAAGTTATCTAAATTTCATCAACAGGTTCTCCTAAATTGGAAAATGTCCTACACTCATAATTTTACTCCACACAACATGCCTATTTGGAACAATCGATGCATATTGTTCAAAAGAAAATCTATCTATTATGATGACTGGGTGAAAAAAGGTATTTGGTCTATTTCACATCTTATGGATTCGGATGGGAATGTCCTTAATTACTCTGCTCTTACAGAGAAATACAATCTTAAATGTACCAAAAAACAGTATAATACTATAATTAAGGCTATTCCTTTAGAAATGTTAAATTTAGTGAAAGGTTTATTGATGTATGACGTCGTAATACCTAGATTTCCTTTGCTTATAATAGATGACATAGAACTTAAAAACGAAAAATGTTCAAACAAAATAATAAGAAGTGCAATAACAAATAAACTTCACCCAATTTCACTAAAAAGACTTTACACCCTCAAAGATTTTCCAAAAGATATACAAATAAAAATCAGAACCAAATATCTCTCCCTCCCAATTTATCCTAAAGCTAAAGAAACCCATTTCAAAATTTTAAATGATATTTATCCCAGTAATGAATTTCTGAGACAACGTTTCAATATTGATTTAAATTCGTGTTCATTTTGTGAATGTGATATTGAATCTGTGGAGCATTTATTTTTTGATTGTCATTATACCAGAACTTTATGGAATTCATTTCAACATTGGATATCAGAATATGTTAATGATGCACCCAATATACTGTACAAAGATGTCAAATTTGGAGTATTTTTGAAAGATAGCAAGAAAGAACTTTTTTACAATACTTGTATACTATTACTTAAACAATATATTCACAAATGTAAATTTTTGAAGGTTAAACCACTCTTCCAAATTTATTTGAATGAATTTTTGCAATTTAGGAAAGCCTTATGTCATGTAAAAACTAAAGCAGCTACTATTTTTATTAATTTCATACAATCTCAAGTATGATAACAGACCTCTTGTGATTGTTTCTTTTGTTTTGTTTTTTTTTGTTTTTATTCTACCTCATGTTGTACGTCCATTGTACACTTTTGTAATGTACACTTGCTCAGTCTGTGTAAAAGGTTATAATAACGATTTGTAATGCCATATTGATTGAAAATAAAAAATATATATATAAAAAAAACAAACAAAAAAAAAAAAAGAATCTCTTCATCTTCACTTCCTGGTTGGAGTGTGGGAGCCATGGCAACGCGTCAGATGGACTTCAAACCAGAGTCCTGGGATTACTCAAACATGCAACAATTTGGGCTTAGACAACAACATCAACTTAGGGGTGTGCAGGGTTCAGGTTGCCGGTTGGATTCCCGTGTGAGTTATGAGACTGATGAGGTCTCGGCCCTGACCCTCACTCCTATAATTCTCCTCAACTTAAACAGAACTCACAGATTCGGAAGATTTCATTCATAAAACTGGCTCTGGCTCCAGGGAGGACATGATTTACTGCACATCCTCTGACACTTGCTCACTACTATTACTACTACTACTGCTGCTACACTGCTGCTTCTACTACTACTACTACTGCTTCTACTACTACTAGTGCTTCTACTACTACTACTGCTTCGACTACTGCTTCTACTACTATACTTCTTCTACTACTACTACTACTGCTTCTACTACTACTACTGCTTCGACTACTGCTTCTACTACTACTACTTCTTCTTCTGCTATTGCTACTGTTAAATGTCTATTATGTGTAGTTATACATTAGGATTGCATTGATACTTTTTATGAATGCCTTTACCCCTTTACTTCACTCTGCAGGGGGCGAAGTGATCAACGGCGTTTGTTTGTCTGTGAGCAACTGGAGCCGGAAAAAACAAATCGAAATAATTATTAGAGACTAGGTAATTATTGACTCAAAATGAATCACATAAAAATATTTGATCTGAGAGGAGGCGATAATTTTGTTTTGTTTTTTGTCAAAAAGAAATGACACCAAAACACAACACACAATTGTTTTTACACCTTCTGATCTGTGGTCACGAGAGACTGAGGAGAGGAGTGGGTTATTTGGAAACACAGCGGACCCTCAGCAATAGTGCTCTGTCGCCTTCTGGTGGAGAAGAGAGGGAATGCAGGATGAAAGCAGCCGTGTTTTTATAGAACAGCCATTCCCAAACTCAGTAACACCGAGGCCCCCTTAAAAATCTGACGGGTCTGCGTGGCCCCCCAAAATAATAACCAAGAAGACAACATTAAGAATAGGCTCTTCTGGTTATTTTATTTTGGGGAAATAGCCTCTGCTACAAACATTGTAATACAAAAATGATTACAGTGGATTATTCAAGTCAAATAATGAACACAAATATTTTAATATTACAAACAAAACATTATAAATTTAACATAAAATAATTATATTTATTTTTTTATTTTTTTTATGACCTCCCGCGGCCCCCCTGCAGTACCCTCGCGGCCCACCAGGGCCCCACATCAACTGAATAAAGCCTTTCCAACTAATCTAGACCAGAGAAAGACCAGAGAGAGGCCAGAGAAAGAGACCAGAGAGAGAGAGACCAGAGAGAGACCAGAGAGAGGCCAGAGAAAGAGACCAGAGAGAGAGAGACCAGAGAGAGACCAGAGAGATGCAAGACAGACCAGAGAGAGGCCAGAGAAAGAGACCAGAGAGAGAGAGACCAGAGAGAGGCCAGAGAAAGAGACCAGAGAGAGAGAGACCAGAGTGAGACCAGAGAGATGCCAGAGACCAGAGAGAGGCCAGAGAAAGAGACCAGAGAGAGAGAGACCAGAGAGATGCCAGAGACCAGAGAGAGGCCAGAGAGAGAGACCAGAGATATGCCAGAGACCAGAGAGAGGCCAGAGAGAAACCAGAGAGACACAAATACATCATTAAACCTCAATGTGATCTCATTCATCCTCTGATCGACTTCTCTTCTTCAAACACAGTCGCCACGGCAACAGGATTCACTGAGATCCTCAAAGTGTTGACTCTCAAACACTGTTTACTTTTAAAAGATCTCCACTTGGTTTTGGCAGAGACCAGAGAGAAACTAGAGGAATCAGAGAGACCAGAAAGAGAACCCATAGAGAGAGACCAGAGGAAGAATTTACTCCTCACAACTTCTCAACAATGGAGTCTGTGAAGGAGCCCCTGCTGCAGCTGCTGAGGTCACATCTGCATGAGACTTTGACCACAACGAAACAGTGCATTCTGGATCTGGTGGAGCGGTCTCTGCAGGAACTGGAGCCACAGGGAGGAAGACTGGGGCCTCTGAGTCCAGCTTCAGGTCTGGTCCTCTTCTATTCACAACACAGCTTTTCTGGATCTGACAAACTGTAGGAAAACTATGTAATTGACTTATTGTAACTTAACGTAACTTAGCACGTCAGAGTCTGGGTTTACATCAATTCCATCAGAGGATCATTGAACTGGACATGGAGACTGTATAGTTCTTGACTTCTTCTTGTATCTATACTTACTGATGTCCTCTCAGTCCAGTCTTGTAAACACTTCTCTCTCTATAGATGCAGATGAACCAGTAGCTCTACATCCAACACAAGAGCAGGACTTTGTGCTCGGACCCAGGGACGACGAGGACCAGAACAAGTCCTCAGTGAAGATCAAAGAGGAACCTGGAGTAGCCTGTGTTCAAGAGACGGACATGGTTCTCCAGGAGGATGCTCCAAACCCTGAAGCTGAAGGACATGGACCAACAACAGACTCAACATCTGACAGAGGCAGAAGCGACAGAGAAAGGCAGCGTGCAGAGAGGAGGTACCCCTGTGAAGGCTGCGGGGAACTGTTCCAAACCAAGTCGTCTCTCACAAGTCACCAACGTGTCCACTCTGGAGAAAGACCTTATCCCTGTGATCTCTGTGAAAAGTCCTTTACTCAGAGCAGCACTCTTAAGACCCACAAACGTGTCCACACTGGAGAAAAACCCTATCCCTGTGACCTCTGTGAAAAGTCCTTTACTCAGAGCAGCAATCTTAAGACCCACAAACGTGTCCACACTGGAGAAAAACCTTTTGTGCTTACAAATAATTTGCCACTTGACTTGCCCCCACCAGGCGCAGCTGAGGCTAAACTCATGCGAACCCACTCTCACCACAGTAGTATGGAGTGACCCCATGAACAGTGACCTGTGAACTGTCTTTGAGAGGTCCTGAAAAGAAACCGCTACATAAAAAACAACTGCATTATTTTTTATTGCTACTTTTTCTTTCCACAGTCGGCCCTTCACATGAAAGCAAAGAAGAAGATGCACTCATGGAATCCAAAAACTCGTTCACAGGGACAAATGTTACTCTCGGTACAAACCCACACTGCTTCCACCAGCACAGGTATAAGCTTGGAGTACTTCTGCTTAGGAGTGTGTAGACGTGTTCCTTGCTGCTACCGCTCTGCATGCTTAGCTTGGTAATCTCTTTAATCAGTTTTATTACAATTTTTATTACCTCAAAACGGATTACTCAGTCTACAGATTTCCGCTTTGTGAAAATTTGTAACATTAGTCACATGTCCGGACGGAAAGAAACGGGAGAAATGTCTGCGTTGGCTGCCGCTGTCTGGGAAAATCAGCTCAATCTCTTCAAAAACGGATGGATAGATAAATCCAGCGAGAAGTTGAGAAGAGATTTTTCTCTGCTGCTGGATGACCTTAAAAAAATGGAGCTACACGTGTTAATCAGTGGACCCCTTCCAAATGCAGATGGAAAAATCGAGAAGTTTAGCCGTCTGTACCAGTTAAATACATTTCTACACAATGAGTGTTCACGCAGAAGACTTGGAGTTAATTGAAAACTTTAATCTGTTCTGGACTAGGCTCGAGCTTTTCGAAGGGAAAGGCCCACATCTGAACAAATACGGAGTAAAAGTGTTGATGGATAACTTTGCATCTGCCCTAAGACCTGAGTCTGCGCAGCGCGAGCAGCCGTTGAAAGAGAGGAAGAAGCAAAGGGCACGACCCTCTCCACGGAACCCAGAGGTCTCGGCACCTCCACCGCCTCAAAAGAACTCAACACGTCCACCAGCATCATCATCAGCAGCGGATACAGCACCAGCAGCAGCAGTGGCTGCCACAGCGTCATCAGCGCCTTCAGCATCAGCACCACCAGCACCAGCTGTGGCTGCTGCATCATCTTCAGCAGCACCTTCCCCACCTACAGCTCCCGTGAAGCCCCTCCCATTGCCTCCAGGCTACAGACAGGCCTGCACTGGGGGCCTCTCAACCACCTCCGTCTCCACCAAAGACTCCCTCATCACCTTCCATGGACCCGGTTTGGGTCCCCCCCGCCACATCCACTCCATCTAAGGAAAATGAGGACGACCTTTCCCTGTGTTTTCCATCACTACTGGAATTACCAGAGCACTGTGCAGGCATGATAAGATCGGCGATGAAGACTATTCCTCTCACACCCACTGTAGCCAGATCAAGAGTCCTATCTAACATTCATAACTTCTCCCCATACGTACCTCCAAAGCCACCTAGGGCGTTCAACTCAAATTCTCCCACAAAATCCACCCGTCCCTCAAATTCTAACTCAAATTCACCCGCAAAATCCACCGGTCCCTCCCCTAACCCCAAAACCATTCCAAACCCACCCCCACCCCCCCCCGTTTAGCCAACCTCCCCCCTAACTCATCACCAAGAACCCCTCCACCTCCACTCCCCCCTCGTCCATCTCCAAACTCCTGCCCCTCCCCTAACACCCATCCACCTCCAACCCCCCCCTCGTCCAACACCCAAGAACCACCCACCTCTCCATCCTCCTCCCCCGCTTTCCCCCTCCTCCTCTTATCTCTAAACACTAGGATGCACAGGGTCTCTGCTTCGCAGCCACTGGCAGTCTAGGTAGATAAGAGACCCGGCTGGGGCCCTGTCATAAAGCCACCTGTGCCATTCCCATAGTGATAACACAAAAAATACATAACAGAAAAAGCTCTGAAGTTAATCAGTCTAATCTGGAAAATCTAATTCTTGTTCCGTGTAAAAATCAGCCGACCACAACCGCTGATACTGAAACTTTGAAACTTGCTATGCTAAATGTCAGATCTTATTTGTTCTTATAATCTTGATCTTGTGTTCATGGCTGAAACTTGGCTTGACCAAAATCCAGGAAATGCAGTTTTAATAGAAGCATCACCACCAAATTTCAAATTTGAATCTGAAATACGGGAAAACAAAAAGGGGGGTGACTTAGCTGCCATTTTCAGAGACCACTTTGTCTCCCATAGAATGTCTCTTGGGAAGTTTTTGTCATTTGAATATGTGTCTTTTAAAATACACATCTCCTCCAATACTCTTCATTGTCCTATACAAGCCACCGCAGTCATGTCACAGTTTTATTGATACTATAATTTTACCGAGTTGCTTTCAGTTGTATGCACAGATTTTGATAGTTTAGTTATTACAGGGGATTTTAATATTCATGTGGATAATGTTAATGACAGAAATGCAAAAGAGCTGAGTTCTTTACTTGAATTATTTGGCCCCACCCACAGCAGAGGGCACACTCTAGACCTGTTAGTTACTACAGCACTTTGAGTTGCCTTTTGTATGAATTGTGCTATACAAATAAACTTGCCTTGCCTTGCCTACATTCAATTCCATTTATTTTTGTGAAGCCCTAAATCACAACAATAGTTATCAAATACAAAGCTGTCGATTCGCCAACACACATCAGAGAATAAAACTGTCCAAACACAAGAAATGGAATGATAGAAAACACATTGGTCATATGGGGGCAGATGACCACTGTCCATAAATGTTGATGAATATCCATAAATGTTGTTGAGTGTCGAGTGGTCCTAGATCCTCACCGCTGTCCACGGACCCTCCTGCATCAGCAAAGAACAACAAGTATTGGTTACATAGAAATAACTAATAAGAAATATGCATTTTTATATGTTGTATTCTCTTGTGAAGCACTTTGAATTGCCTTGTACACAAATTGTGCAATACAAATACATTTTGTTGATGACTGCTTCACAGCGTCGTGCAGCAGTGTGCTTCACTGTGACGAGGGCTGGGAACTTCGTGGGACAAAGTGCTATAATTTCTCTGTTGAAAGTCTCAAACTAACCTGGAGTGAGAGCAGAGAGAAGTGTCAGAGCAACGGAGGAGACCTGGTCCAGATCAAGAGCCGAGACGAACAGGTGAGAGCAAGTCTGGATTTAACAGCGATTTTTGACTCATTTGTCTCATGTTTATTTTGCAGGATTTTCTGGAGGGAAGAGTGTCTTCGCCTTCCTGTTGTGACAAATTCTGGATTGGACTGACAGACTCACAGACAGAAGGGGAATGGCTGTGGTGCGACGGCTCTCCACTGAACCAGAGGTGATGTTTTAAACACAGATCATACCATTCATTCATTCACATCATAGAGAGTGAATGTGAATGAATGAACCTCGCGACTCTGGCGGGAGCACTGCCCACTGAAGCTTTGTGTGTTTGGATGAAGGAGAAGAATCCTCCACGTAAAATTAGTTTATCCGTCGCCATTGTTGCTTACGTTTGTTCTCGGCTTCTGCACATGTCCAAATGTGCGCAGGGGAAGTTCTGAGGTCATCGCAGCAGAGAATCCACACCTTTGTCTTCACACAGCTGTGAAACGTTTCTCAACGATTGCATTTGCAACTGGAAAAACATTGGGCCTCATTCACGAACGGTTCTTACGAACAAATTTGTGCGTAAATCCTACTTACGAGGATTTTACGAAGAATGTGGCATTCACGAATATTTCTCGTCAGCAGAATTTCTCTTAAATTCATTTGTAAACTTAATGCGCCAACGCTTTATCAAATACATTGGAAATCATGCCGTTAGTGACCCCATCCTATTGATAGGGGACATTTATCCATCCACGGGTCACAAAACAATGGAATATATACTGCTGCAGCAGGAGGACCGCGCTGGTCTCTCCATATGGTCTCTCCAGTCGCTGCGGTCTCTCTTCGGTCCGCGCTGGTCTCATGCGGTCCGCGCTGGTCTCAGTCTATGCGGTCTCTCCTCGGTCCGCGCTGGTCTCAGTCTATGCGGTCTCTCCTCGGTCCGCGCTGGTCGGTCCGCGCTGGTCTCAGTCTATGCGGTGTCTCCTCGGTCCGCGCTGGTCTCAGTCTATGCGGTGTCTCCTCGGTCCGCTCTGGTTTCTGTGTGCTGGTCTCTCCAGTCTCTCCTCGGGTCTGCATTGGTCTCAGCGCTGGATCTCCTCTCAGGGTCCAAAATACTTTTAGATTAATCTCATAACATTTTGAGATTCCTTTTTAAATTAAAACATAATATATTTTTTAATTAATCTCATAACATTTTGAGATTAATCTCATAATTTTTCTTGTTCGACTTTATTCTCAAAATATTTAGACTTTTAAGTCAACATTTTATGACTTTATTCCTAGTCTGGCAAAAGAAGAAAAAAGGGTGACTCTTTTGCTCCGTGTAACTCTTTGCTTTAGGCCTGTTGCTGTTTCCTCTGGCGTCTGCACACGGCCCTGCAGTCCCTTATATGGGCATTAATGGGCGGTTACCTATGCTAAGTACCTATGCTAATGAAGCACCGGGCACGCGCGCTCTACTTACGAGGAGTTGGCATTCATCAATCTGAGAGAACAGCTGCAAACAATTCAGCGGCTTACGAGCGCGTTGATGAATCCCACGTAGGGCTTCTTAGAAATCTACTGAAGAACGACTTGAGAAGAAATTTAAGAAGATTCTTACGAAGTTATTCGTGAATGAGGCCCATTGTGTCTTCATAAGTTTGTGTAAGCCCTCAGTCGTACAGGGATTAGTCAAAGCAAAGGAAGGTTTCTCACCCATCATCTGTACTTCTTAGCAAGTTTTCCCGACATTTCGTCCTCAATCCTAAGGACTTCTTCAGGGAATGAATTCTCAGATCGCGCGTTGGAGATTTATAACCAACGCACGATGATGGGTGAGAAACCTTCCTTTGCATTGTGTATTCATATAAACAAAAGGACAAAAACCTGATATAAACTCAGCGTCTCCGTCAAACTGAGAGTGTGATCAGAACTTCTTCCTGTAGCCATCCAACCTCCAGGGAGGAAATGGTTTACGGCAGGGCTCTCCAACCTGTTACGCGGGAGCCACAAGTAGCTCGCCACCCCCTTTCAGGTACCTCGCCAAAGGATTTAGAATTGAACACGTTAAATAATATACTAAATATTTCAGAATGTATTATTTATTTAATATCATAATGTATTATTGTAAATGCAAATTTAATTTATAACAAATACGTCAGACTCGCTCTCACCACTTAAAGGAATAGCTCTCTCTCTTTTTCATCTCAGGAAAGTAGCTCTCTGAATGAAAAAGGTTGGAGACACCTGGTTTACGGCTATGGACAGCTGTCTGTCATATTCTCTCAGCGTCCTACTCAGTTTTTTCCCATTTGCTGTCCTTCTGTTTAGACCGAAATCACAATGACAGTAACATTCACCTGATGTGACATGATGTACTCCTATTATCTTCAAACACACGACTTTTATTATTACAATCATCTCCCTAAACACTTTTAACGTGTATAGTGTGATTATTTTATTAAATGTGTCAATGAAACTTTCCTGCAGCTTGGCTTTCTGGACGAGAGATTCGCACAACACTGAACCAGACAACTGGAAAGAAGAGGATGAAGAGGGAGAGAACTGTGCCGCTATCTGGGAGCACTATCCCATTAATAACCCTCTGTCTTGGTACGATGTGTCCTGCAAAAAGAGGCACAGGTTTATCTGTGACAAACCAGCTGACAGCACTACAACATGTGGTTAAAAACTGTCTTTAAAGAAAAGAAACGTAAGATGTGATTTTTTAAAATGTAACTTCAATAAGAATTTAAGAATCAAATATTTCATTGATTCACTGCAGTGCATTTTGTTTTCACTATATCCAGCCTGTAGCTAGCACGGGGCTAACCTTATCAAATACTCAGAAATGAGCGCCAATATTTTAGAGTAAACAACATTTCTAGATTCAGATTCTATAGAGCCACAGTCTAAGCCCAAATAAATACTGATTTTTGCATTTCAATTCAATTTATTTTTGTTTAGCCCTTAAAGTGATTGTCTGGAGTTTGTCAGAAAGAGAAAGGGAGAGGTACTTGATCTGAAAAAAACAACGCAAGCTCCTCCCCCTTCCTTTCAGATTGGTCTACGCCTACGTTTCCGTATATACATTATTAATACACATGCACGGAGGTTTTCAGAATTATTTGTTAACGTTTTAATGAAAAAAATAATGTTTTTAAGCACAAAAAAGTGATCGCGGCAAACCCGGAAGAAGCTATTATCATTAATTGCACATTATACAGTAGGACACATCTGCAGAGGATCTGATTATGGATATAGGTTCAGTATATAAATGATTATGGATATAAGTTCAGTATATAAATGATTATGGATATAGGTTCAGTATATAAATGATTATGGATATAGGTTCAGTATATAAATGATTATGGATATAGGTTCAGTATATAAATGATTATGGATATAGGTTCAGTATATAAATGATTATGGATATAGGTTCAGTATATAAATGATTATGGATATAGGCTCAGTATATAAATAGGTAACTCAGCGCAGATGTTCAGAATTCTTTGTTCAGTTTTCATGTAGTTCCAGAGCCTAATAGAGGCTTGATTCGGAGGCTCCGCGAAAACAAACAACTGAGCATGAGCAGCTACGAGCATCAGCGCCGATTATTGACAGCCCTTGGCATGACTCGATTGGTTAACCTCGACGGCATCGTGGATTCTGAGCTATAGCTAAGAGAAGGGAAGGCGGGACTTGCCCGTAATATTATTTTATATCAATATTTAAGGCCAGGAGGTCAATTTAACACATTTCCTAAAATTTGTAATTCATTTAGAGTTACAGACTATAACTTTAAGAGTACAAAAGGTGACAAAAATGAACCAGACAATTGGAAAGGTGATAATCCTGAAGGAGAAGACTGTGTGCGGATGGGAGAGAAGGACCCCGGCTTTGAAATGAAATGTTGGTTTGACAAAGACTGGAACTCGCTTCAGAAATACATCTGTGAGAAGAAGTCGACCTGTGAAAAACACAGAACCTAAAGAACTGAGGTGTTTGCAGACCTGGGTTTAGAGATTTTACTGTAATCAATCAAACTCCTCTCTTTCCAATTTACGATCTACCATTGAATCATCCCCACACACTCACCTTATTGATATGCAACACAAGCATTCACCAATAATGTAACGGTAACTACTGTTATACACAAATACATTGAAGTGAATGTAATCGATGAGCACCTCTGAAGTAAGATGTCTTCTTTGGGAGTCCAGTCGCCACAGAGCAACAGTAAACAACATACAGTATACACAGGGAAGTTGTTTTATTATTCTTTGACTTTGAATCCCCTGTTTTTCATTTATGTTTCATTTTTAATGCTTTTCATATTTCTAAGTATTATTTTTACTCATTAATGGAGCTAATTTGTACTGTTTTGCCTTCATTGTGTTTATGGTCTTGTGTGCAGCAGTCCTGTTGTTCAAGTGTGCCATATAAATAAACTGGTTTGGACTGTGGTCATGGGTGGAGTCGAACGTCAATGTTTGCTGTTGTCTTTCTGCAGATACTTATATGTATTTTGTTACTGCATGAATAAAATGACTTTGACTAAGGATCTCTGTTTAAGTTTAAGATTCTTTATATTCTAGTGAAAGAAAATATATAGTTTAACTTGTATGTGTGTATCTGTACATGTTTGGACGTCAGAACTATTTTCTGAGAGAGGGGGGGGCAGGTTTTTGTTGGGAGAGTCGAGGGAGAGACGCAAACTTGGATTAGACTGGATAATAACATAGCATCTTAATTGTTAAGAAAACAAAAATGAAACAATATAAATCAAGTAAGGTACTTACTGGAAATAGTTTATTTCAAAGCTGGTTTAACAATCACGAGTTTGCTGAAGGTACGGTCGGGCGGCACGGTGGCTGAGTGGATAGCACTCACGCCTCTCAGCTAGAAGGTCCTAGGTTCAAATCCCGGTCAGACCAGGGCCTTTCTGAGTGGAGTTTGCATGTTCTCCCTGTGTCTGCGTAGGTTTCCTCCGGACACTCCGGTTTCCCCTACCACTAAAAATATGTATGTGCCTCCTGTACTGGCGACCACACTCCCATCTCTGTGTGGAGTGAGAGACAAATGCCCAAAATTAACAATTGTAAACCGCTTTGAGACTCAGATCTGCAGTGAAAAGGCGCTATATAAATAAAGATTACTATTACTACTCACTGTCAGACGCACACACGGCTCCAAATAACAATTACGCGCATCAAGAAAAGGTAGGCTATGTAAATGGAACAGTTTAAAGTAAATTGCACAAAACTGACACTGAAAGAAGTGAAATGGTTTGCAATCAAATAAGAACTTTTTTTCCAAAAGTGGACCACCTCTCCGTGACCTACTGATGAATTGTTCAAGCAGAGTAGAAACGTCGCATTCGTGGGACTCATAGGCGTCTGAGCGGACAAGGTCAAACCCGTTCGACGCAAACTCTTGACTTCAGGTCTTTAGAAGTTAAAGTTCTAAAGGTACAAGACGCCGTGGTTAAACAAGTATTTGGAGCGCGATATTGAGAAGGCATTTTCCCCCTTTTCCCGAAACACATCCAACGAGACAGTACAGGTCAGAGTGGTGGTTAAGCTAACCAAAATATTGGTGTAAGTATTTTAAGTCCAGAGCCATGAAAGCAATTTGGAATGTAATGTATTATTGGGTTGGGCCTATTGTCCTTTCAGTCTGTGGAATAGACTTTTTGAGGAACTTTCTTCCCCTTTCCTTTCTTGATCGTCATGTTGACTGCTGGAAGAAGTGAATAAAAAAGACACACCACAATCAATGTTGGTTTTCAATTATGGATCTGAGATTGGCCAAGGTCTCAGGAGATCACAAACTGCGGAGAGACTTGTGAGAAGGACTGAGAAAAGTTAAGTTTTTCTGAACAGTAGCACTAGTTTCTTAACAAGTTTGTTTGTGCCTCATATTTATAGATTATAGATAAAACACACACACCCACACACACTGATGCATATCTCAGAAATGCAGCACACGCCGTCTATATTTTCAGTGATTTCATGTACTAACACTTTTACACTATGTTGTTAGTGTTGTTTGAGGTTTCTGCACATAGGTTTGTTCTTTATGAAGCGGGCTGTTGGAATAACAAGTTAATTGTTTAGAGAAGGAGATTTATGTGATTCCATACCTAATATGAAAGAAGCTATAGGTTGGAAAGTGTGAATCCCTTTTTCTCCAGGCAGAGGAGAATGTGGAGGAGGAGAATCCAGGCACAAGTCCAAGACCAGACCAAGACCAGCCCAGACTCCAGACCGAGACCAGGAACTGGCTGATACGACACGCCCCTTCTGCAGATTATACTTATACTGATTTTGGTGATGTTTGAGAGTCAGTCAGATAGGGTGAGCCCATAGGGAAGAGAGCAGGCATAGTTAGAATAGGACCTTTTTGAATTTCTGTATCTGATTGTAAAGATAAATTAAATACAGATGTTTAACTTGGAAATCTTCGTCTTGTTTTCTGCATCAAATTTTGACACAAGGTTTTTTTAGACAATAACACACACAAATTAAAAGGAGAAGTACACATGTATTTCTAATTAGAAGAAGAACTGAATCAAACTGAGACTTTTTGGACAGAAGTTGAACAAGATGAGCGACATGGCTGAAGAATCTGATAATGTTCCTCGAAAAACTCGGAGAAGCAAAAACAAAGGTGAGCAGCTTGTCTTTTTAATAGAAGTAGTATTTACTCGAGTACTTGATGTTACAGTTGTGATGATGGGAAGTGTGTTTTAGCAGAGTTTGAGTCTGAAGACAGTCCACAGAGAAGATGGAAGCTCTCTGTGGTTCTGCTGCTGCTCATGCTGTTACTACTACTACTACTACTACTACTACTACTACGGCTATGGCTACTACTACTACTACTACTACTACTAGGAGAATGGCAAATGTATTTAAAAAGCAACATTCAGCAACCCTGGGAGCTTAACATGCACATTGGGAATCAAAAAAACATCCATCCATTTTCTTTCCCTTAAATTAATCTATTTAATCTAACCCACAACCATCAGGCTCAAAGGCCAATGCTCTACCAACTGAGCCGCTGTCGCCCCTGGAGGTACAGTAACAGTACCGGAATAATAATAAAAAAAGAAATAAAGCTGCAAGCAGCAATGAGAGCCCTCGCCACTCTCACAACCACCTCCCTGGAACAATATATTTTACTGTAATCAAAAAAGTGCTTCACAAGAGCAAGTTAAATTTAAGAGATCTGAGAGGTCCATGAAATGTACAATTATTTCATATTAAAACAGAGCAACATAAAAGTATAGGGTTTGTAAAAAGCAATAAATAGTACAAAATAGAATCAGTTATATGTTGTATATACTGTATATATTTCCATCCATCCATCCATCCATTTTCTACCCTTTAATCATTTCTGGGGTCAGGGGGGTGGCAATCAGAGATGCCACCCAAGTCTCATAGCACCAGCCTATATATATATATATATATATATATATATATATATATATATATATATATATATATATATATATAAATATGTGTGTGGTAGACAAAGGGCAGAGGACAGCCGTGGTGGTGGACGTGGCAATTCCAAGCGGTAACATCCGGAAAAAAAGAACATGAAAAGCTTGAGAAATACCAAGGTCTCAGAGAGGAGCTGGAGAGAGCCTGGAGGGTAAAGGTGACAGTAGTGCCCGTGGTGATC